AAAAAAAAGTTATCAAGCTCTTAAAAAATCACCCGTTACATTGATATGAAATATTCAATATGCTAAAGGTGAAAAGGTGTCAAGTCCACTCAAAATTTGATGCAGAATGGCAGATAATGCGAAACTTCATCGATTTTTCGCCTCTCTTAAACAATTACAAAAATGGACTTGGCACCTTTTCACGTTTATGTAGCGATATACATTCTTTTTTCAACAATCGCAAATAAATTTTGAAAGCGCCTATTATTTGATAAACTCGAAAAGCACATTTAGTGCAATGGCCTGAAAGGTAAAACTTTCGCGCGAAGTATTTTTTTTCCAAATGTATTTGCAATGACAATCCGTTTAGCGATGTCATATGCTCATAAATCAGACAATCGCTAAGCGATGACGGCGCTCCACTAATCAAATGCAATAATTGTGCTAGTTAATAAATTTCATACAATATTTGCTTAGCTAATGAAGACCAAGTAAATGCGAAAAGAAAATATTCTGTCTTGCAAAGACGCAAAATAAGCATAGCTCAGTATTGTGCGAACAGTTGGACAAGTCAAATCACGTGGAAGGCGTGGCGTANCTGCAGTTGGAATGGATAAACGATGATGATGAAAAAATGCGTTACAACTACAAGCATCAGAATCGATTGTGGTCTGAAGAAGGCGGTGAGGAAGAGTGGATGTATATTTAAAAAATATGCGCAGTTGTATTAAATTTGATTTTTTCATAGACGCGTCGACCTCCGCGCGTTCCGATGGTGAGGCAGCTGAAGAGGCTGAGAATAGTACTAATGTGCATGTATCTGGCGAATACCAGGGGGACATTTACAATGTGAACTACTCAAATGATAACACACTAAATGCACCGAGTGTAAGAAACTATAGAAGGATTTTGTTTTAATGAAAATAAAATTTTTATTGCTGCATTTTAATTTCAGCAAACCAACATACAAGCGACTATCGGTGAAGTACTTGACTATATACAAACGAATGTATTGCCAACGCTCAAATAATGCTGGAACTTCTTTCCGTGGCTTTTTAAGTGCTTACGATTTTTTTTTATCAAAAATACTAATAAAACCGATTCGTTAACATGTTCTGCATTAAAGTTACACATGTATATTAGTGTAAAGATTCTAAGTGTACTCAAATAAACATTCCTGCTTTTGTTCTGCGGGTATGAAGGCACACGTTGAACAAGTTTTATATTTTTAATATTTTTCGGAAAAAGTTAGTAAATCTAAAAGAAAAGTAGTTAATGGAGAAAAAGAGCACGGTCGGAATTTTTGTCTAAAATCGCTTCGTCTAGTAAGTGCTGCTTGCAGTCGGACCGTGAAAAATCGCAGCTTTATTTATTTCTTTGGTGTGCCAGTTTCATGTGGATACACTGTGGTGAATATAAATTTTATTACTATCTACATCCCCACCTTATTGTATAACTATGTTTCTGCAACTAAAGAGGAAATCAATGAACTACAAATGAAATCGCCTCTCTTTAAATCGAT